CCGCGTGGGCCCCCCGACAGCCAAGCCAGGGGACAGTCCCGGACACAGCTCCCCACCTCCCCGTGCCATGACCCACAGGGAACCCCCCCCAAGCAGCAGACACAGGTCTCCAGATGGGTCCCATCTAGGGGGTCCCAGCGCCAGGACATCATGGAGTGGGGCTCTCCCATAACCACACGCAGAAGACCTTTGGGTCTGAGGGATCTTCCAGCCCAGATCCCAGAACAGCTATCCTCAGCCCACAATGCCCCTCCTGCTCCGGGCAGAGGCTGAGCCACCCCACCCAGCACCCTCCACCAGAGACCCAGCACCGCAAATACGCAGACCCCACATCACCTCCCTCCTGTCCTCCCACCCCCTCCAGCCCCCGGGATGGGAAACCGTGGCAGAGTGACCAGGCAGCCCAGGAGCCCGGCTGCCACCAGTTTGCCTTTGGAGCGCCCGGTCCCTTGAGCGTCCCAGCTGTGCGTGGCACTTACTGTTGCCGCATCATGGGGATATTGACACAGTTGGCAGCAGCCACGGCTGCGAAGGGGACCCAGCGGGCCAGCAAGGGGGGTGCTCGCTGCGGGAGACAGGCTGGCATCAGCGTGGGAGGGCAGGGTGCGGCCGGCTGCCCCACTCAGCCCTGGCCCCACGTACCTTGGTGTAGAGGTTGAGTCCCACCGCAGTGGCCAGGGCCGTACTGGTGGCCGTGATGTAAGCCACCCCTATTTGCCTGGACAGTGATTTGCAAAAAAGGGAGAGAAAAGAAACACCAACTCATCGATCCTGTTCCTTTGGTGCCCAAGATGGGGCATGGGGGGTCCTTGTGGGACATCAGGGGGGTCCCAACACAGAGGGTCCCCATCCCATGCAGGGGCACGCTCACCTCAGGGAGATGGGGGAGGCAGCGTTGCGGTTGGTGTAGTTGACGATGGCATTGAAGGACTGGTTCACCCACTGCCAGAAAACCACAGCAGGCACCGTCCTGCGGAGGGAAGGTACCGGGAGAGCACCCGAGGGCCGTCAGGGACACCTGGCCTGTGCCTGTGGCCAGCCTTGGCACGGGGACAGCCAAGGTGCCCTCAATGCCCTTGTCCTGGTGTCTCCCAAGGGAAACTGAGGCACTGCGGCAAAGCTGCAGGCCAGTGGCAGAGCTGGGAAATGACACCAGGAGTCCTGTCTGCTGCGGGGCTTCGGGAAGCACAGGAGGCGGGGCCCAGCCCTGCAGGGTGCTTGGCCAGGGGTGGGAGACCCAGCTCTCAGCAGGGCGGCAGCCATCCTGCCGGGCTGAGATAAGCCTTTGTCAACGGGAGCGGCGAGGAAGGGGTGCATGCTGACAGAGGCATCTCTGGGGGTGACCGGGATGCCTGGGCTCCTACCGGAGTCTCAGGGACACTGAGGTGGGGCAGGAGGGGATATGGGGAGATGTGGGTCTGAGTGAGCTTTGGGATGTGGGAGGGTGGAGGTGGGCTGGGAAGAGGGTGACCCATCAGCACTGGGAGATCCCTCACCCAGGCTGGACCTTGCCAGCAACCAGCAAAGCAGTCCAGCAAACAGGGGTGGGATGGGACGGGGATCCATTGGGAAAGGCAGTGTCTGTCCCACACGTCCTCTGCACCAGGGACAGGATAGCTCCCCCCCCCCCTCGCCACCAT